TCAAATTATTCGCAAACTCTGTTTTCTTCGATGTTGAGTTTATGCAAATGCTTCATTCTATATTTTTAAATGGACAGCTTCAGCATATTTGTTGCACGTCATATAGAGAATACCATGAATTTACGATAGGTATGGTCGTTTAGTGACTTCATGACGTTCGCCATGATTTATGGAGTGATATATTGATGGGATCAGCGTTTAATATATAGGTATAAAGTGTTGAGATCTGCAGTTAATATAACTTGCCGTAATCCGAAGTTGTATTTTACGCCGTTGAAGTTTGTAGCGTCTGCCTGTTGAGCAATGAATATATAGGGTCGCCAGCCAGTTACGCTAGTATGTCGAAGTGAAAGTTATCTAATATTCCTCGTATGAGATACATAGTTTCATAAGCATCATATTGGCTAAAACTTACCGTCGAGATTAAGGTAAATGTAAAAGAGTTGTTTTCAGAATAATATTTTTACGAATGCCAAAAATTGAGTCGGGTTCGTCGAAATCTTTGACTGCAAAAAACACACGGCGTCGCAAGCGGTGTTGAAGGTCAGGAAAAGCGTGTCGAGAATCGGCTTGCGTTTTAAAGCCGCTCTTATGCTGTTGTGGCTCCAGATTTTTTAGCTTCTGTGCTGCAATTCACGCTCAATTCATTGGCGTTCTTATGGCGAGTGAAAAACTTTAAATTGTTATAGCTGAAGTACTTGCATTTTATGTCAAATGTTCTCTGAAGATTAAATTTTCAATCAAAAAAGCATTGCCAAGCCATGTATTGTTGGCTCGAACATCGCTTTTTTAAGTCTGTATATATAGTGTGCATGTAGAACAAGCCGTAGCTTATCGCACTTGGGCGAAAAATTAACTTGAGTCGGTCGAAAGCAAAGAATAAAACGATTCAATTGAATTGTAAGACTTTCGTCAGTACAAAGAAGCCTCCATGATTTCTTCACAAATATTCTCATTATCTGGTATTACGGTTCATAGCTGATATTCCGATGAGTTCAACACAACCGCTCTACTACCATCCAGATATTAGAATATGAGTAATACCAAGTACCTCTTTATAAATAACAATCTTGTTAATTACACACATTTAAAAGATTTCTATGGACTTTGAATAGGTAGATTGAAAAGTCGACGGTCACACCATCCGAATTTTTTACGCTGACTGGAAATTGAGAACTCGTTTTGAGAGTTCGAGAATTGAAATTAAATAAATTCAAGGTGCTTCTCATTATTCAACTTGAATTAGCTGCGAGCATGATTATGTTGATAGTAAGTGAAATTAATGGCGATGAGAGAAAAGAGTTACAGGTCATAAAATTACTAATTTTATGGTCAGTTGCGTAGGTACTAATTTTGCGAACTTTAGGACACCTTAAGTTTTGGAACACAAATTACGAAACATGTTTCCGGTTTCACAGTTTCAAAAAAAGTATTCCGTTTCACTGTTCATTTACTATGTTTTGCATGGAGCATCCCGTTTCACAAGGTTATTCGTGCGGAAGTCATGAACTAACGTTTGATCGACTCGCCAAAGCTCCTGTATATCTCAAAGCTTCGTTTTTGACCAAATAAACTTCTGCTTACAATTTTAGCCGCTCATTGCGAATAAGAATATTTTGAAAATTGTTAACACCGCAACAGAAATTAGATTGTTGATTGGGGAGCAATCTCTTTTAGAGATCTAAGTGCAGGACCTCCCATTATTTGCACAGGGTTGAATTTGACAGCTTTCTTTAATTGTTTTAATTAAAAAAATTAAGTGTCTAAGTGAAAATAAAGTTAATAAAAAGTCAATCAAGCCCAAAGATGTAATCTAAGGGGAAAAATGATAATATGTACTATATTGAATTTATAGACATGGGTTGAAAATGAACAAGCAAGTGAAAAGTGTTCCATAATTGTTACTCAATGTTTTATAACTGGCGTGAAATGGTATTATCTGATTTTTGTAATCAGATCAATGATTTCTTGCAATACTCAATACTCTATGAGGCCTTAATTTTTCCAGTTTTCGAAAAATATTTATAATTTTATTTTAATCCCTAATATGAAATAAAATATTATATAGAAAAATCATGAAATAACTTCTAGACAAGTCATTTAATCGAGATGAAAGCACTGAGAAAGCGATACATCGATGGCTTGAAGCTATTGAGTGAAACCTTGGTCTTGGGGCACAGCCATGTATACGAAGGAGGAATGGGTTGCTGCTGTCACCTCGACTAACTTTCGCTTCGTACCATCTATGTTGTTCGTGTCGTGCTTTTCCACCCATACCTTACTCATAAATCGTGTTGTTTTTGTACGAAATTACTCGTCCAAAATAGTGTTGAACTCGGTGGACTTAACCCTTTGTCAACGTATACCAAAACCGACGTCAATGCTATTCGTACTGAAATACCTGGGAACTAGTGTTATTGTCATGATGCAATGGATTACAAATTAGAAATTTTCGCGATGTTTCTTATAATTTTCTTATCTGATTCTTGAAAATCCGTTGGAAGTCGGAAGGACTCTTTGAAGCACTAGAAGTAAGGTAATAGTACTTCGATATAACAACGTTGCTATACATCATTAAAAATGCTCATGCAATCACGTCTTGTCTCGAATAGCAAACGAAGCTCATAAGAATTGCAGTCACGCAATTTCGGGTGAATGCAAAACCTGCAAAAATGTATGCTGAAACTTTAGGAAGTCGATCTTATGCTAGATCGGCTCTTCAGGTGCTAAATTAAAAAGTCACGTTTGGATTATTTATTTATGAGCGTTTTTTTCACAAAATAAATTTTATTCAATCGCTTTTTGTCTTGAAAAAAGCCAAACAAAAAATTTTATTCAATTACTTTTTTTGTCTGAAATTTATACGCATTAGAAGTATCATGGATTACATTTACTATTTCCATTCTAGATTGAATTGCATTGCAATTCGCAATAACGTTAGGTATTTATATTATTATTATCTGTGCATAATATCTCGCTCTATTTCATCATCAACCTCCTTTCCATTCGGATATTTCAGTGAATTATATATTAATATTCTAATTAATTCTGTTAATTATAAAACGGGACTGATATATAACTGAATCGTGTTATGTAACCACATTTTCCCCACATCTATAGACCAATGAATATTTATTCTCTTATCCACTGAGTAATAGAGAAGGCATATTTCGTATGCACTCTTATCTCCGACTATGCAATTTATTATACCAGTCATCGCTTGCTGTTGTTAGCTGCAGAAATATGCAGTGTAGTGCGCCGGCAACCTTGGGTCGCGTGAAAGTTCGCGTGCGCGAATACGTCTGACTCGGTGACTGCACCGCTGCGTGATGCGGCTGCTGAGCTCAGACTCGCGCGTAGCAGCGATGCTTCTCGTGTCTCAAGTGCTGCTGCTGCGCTGCGTGATGCGGCTGCTTAGCTCAGACTCGCGCGTAGCAGCGATGCTTCTCGTGTCTCAAGTGCTGCTGCTGCACCGCTGCGTGATGCGGCTGCTGAGCTCAGACTCGCGCGTAGCAGCGATGCTTCTCGGGTCTCAAGTGCTGCTGCACCGCTGCGTGATGCGGCTGCTTAGCTCAGACGCGCGCGTAGCAGCGATGCTTCTCGTGTCTCAAGTGCTGCTGCTGCACCGCTGCGTGATGCGGCTGCTGAGCTCAGACGCGCGCGTAGCAGCGATGCTTCTCGGGTCTCAAGTGCTGCTGCTGCGCTGCGTGATGCGGCTGCTAAGCTCAGACGCGCGCGTAGCAGCGATGCTTCTCGTGTCTCAAGTGCTGCTGCTGCGCTGCGTGATGCGGCTGCTTAGCTCAGACGCGCGCGTAGCAGCGATGCTTCTCGGGTCTCAAGTGCTGCTGCTGCTGTGCCGAATGACATGCCGTTGTTTTTATTGCGGAAAATGTTGTGTGTATTTTTCTTTTTCAATGTGTACGCTTAGTTGTTTGTGCTTGCAAATGTCGCTAAAACAAACACTTTTTTTGTCAATCAATTCATGTTTCATTTTAAATCGGCTTACAATATATTTTGAAATGAATTTTCAGTCGCATTGTAAGTTTGTTGCGAAAATTGTTTTTTTTTTATTTACTTATCGCTGATTTTTGCGTCAGAACATTTTTAATTTTCTTCAGCGGTTTAACCGAAAACTCGACGGACTGTTCTTTTGCGCAGAGTTATCAACTGATCTCATCTTTCCCTATCGGCGAATCCTGCTCATTATATGTGTACCTCTTTAGATGCAATATAGACGTAATCTATTTTGTAAATCGGGATTTCATTTCCGTATTCTCAACACGGTAGACAGAGTAAAGTAGTAGAAGACCAGTATATATAGTATACAATATGCTAGAGTGGTAGTATAGTAGTAGTAGACCACTCTATATTCTTTAAAAAAAGTATAGTAATAGTGTGCTACTAAATATATAGTATATTATATAGTAGAGTAGTAAAGCAGTGGACACACTGCTTGTTGAGTGTTTTATCCATTTCAAGTGAAGCAAAGCCAGGAGTGATTAACTGCATCAATTTTTATTCATTTATACTTATATTTGGGAAATTTCCGCAATTCATCAGAAGAGAATAATATTGCTCAGATTGCATACACAGCATGAGTGCGCACTGTCCTTGAATAGCAAGCATTACGTTTTACGTGCCAGCTGCACGGCTGTATCGTATCGCAGTTAACCTAAAAATTCGTGATAACGTAAAAACATCGCCAAGTTTTAGTTGTTTTATGAAAGCTCATCTAATATTGAGTTCATTCCACTTGCTAATTAGGGACAATTTTAAATTCAATATCATGTTTATCGGTATGCAAAGACACTCGTTTCTTTAGTCGTTCACTTTTGTTTTTTGTCCAGTTTGTGCTGTCCGGTACACAAATGAAAAGAGTATCAATAATTATATTATTATCAATGGCTACATGCTTTATGTGCATATGGGCATAATTGATTTAGTGTTATTTTGTTCACGTTAAAATATATTTCCCTAATGCATTTTCATGTTATTTTCAGGACTCCAACGGCCAACAGGGAAGACTTCGAAGCCGGAGTAGCAGCCGGTCCCCACGTTCTCCTACGTACATTAATATCACCAAATATAAATTTTTTGGCCACCATGAAAAAATCAATCTATCCAATCGTTGATTCACCAAATAAAAAGTTTTCTGTCTCAATTATGTGATTTTTTGGCCAGTCACAGCAGCTATTCAATCTTGCCTTTTTGAAAGTCATCCGCCCGGTGGAAGTCATGCATTTCGCATTCAAAGTTCCTCCGATTTGAGGTCATGTCTATGTTACCATGTGGCCCGTCTTCCCTTCTTCTTCCTACATCATGCGGAGAAGAAGGTTAGTGCCTTAACATAATAAACAACGAACTTTCGTAATATTATTCCTGATTTGAATTATTAATTGAAATAAATTTTAATTGATTTGAATTAATCATTCCTTATTTTACTAGCTCATATTTTTTTTGCAATATTTATTTCGCATCAATCGATGGATGCATTGCTTATAAAGTGATGATGGTTTAGTATCCATTTCACTAATGCTTCCATAGAAAAGTTTTTCGGTACACTTTCATGAGTATAGGATATTGCACTGACAATAAAACTTGTAGAGAACAATTATTGATCATTTTTAATTTTGTATCGCATCATTACGTAGGTTTCTATGTCAAAACATATCACTATTTTGGCTTGTTGAGATGTTAACATGAAACTCACTCACTACCTCGTAAATAAATAGCTGGAAAACAATCATTTGTGGATGTTTCATTGTGCCATAATTACAATGTCGGATTACGTTCAGTATGTTTCATTAAATTTTAATGAATAATCTTGATCACTTCCTGATATATTTTTCGATAACAAATAATACCAACTTATATAACTAAATCAACCTTTTTTTCGATCTTGTAAGAAAGACTTCTATTCTTCGAATCTTATACGTACCTATGTTAGTATTATTTTCTTGCATTTTATGTCTTTTTTTTCATCTTCCAGGGCACCACAGACGAAAACGCCAGACTTTACAGCGCCTGCGACCTACCAAAGCACTCAGAAAATCAAGACTAGAAGACTGCGTGGCACGCTGTACGCATGACACCCTGACGAATGGCATGTCTATTGACCATCGCCATCCTCGTCCTCTGGAACGCGCGCTGTCTAGTGCCGAACCTCCGGACACTGGATTCCTTACGGCGTTGCCCTGGGACTTTGCCCCCAAGCTTGAAGTCATGAATATTGTTAGTGGTACTGACGCTAGGGTAACAGGTGTTCCGAGTTCAAGTGAGGTCAACGGAAGTAAAGTGGAAGACTCGGTGAAGAATAAGTTGGTGTATGAACTAAGCGATGAATTAGAATGCAGAAGAAGAACTGTAACGTGTGAAAATATTGAAAAAGTGGCCTGTGTGAACAGTGTGGTTGAGTTGAGTCAAAGTGTAAGATATGATAATCATTTTAAGTGTAAAAAATTAAGAATATCACTAAATAGCCTTAACGTAAATAAAAATTATTGTTCGGTGCCAAAAGTTGTCCCACCAAATGTAAAAAGCAAAATTAATTTCGACGTTGTTGTAAGAAACTCAAAGATTTGCCAAAAAACCCAACGCAAAGAATCTTTTATGTCGCTTTTTACTTCAACTATACGAAGAAGAAATAAGTTCTTCCTGTTGCCTTCTCCAATTAACTTCTTGCATCAGTTGTTGCTGATGGCCCTAACCCTGCTATTTACTCTACCTATTGCCCTGTCAACGACGGGATCACCACCTCGGTACTCACGCGACGCCATGCCCAACACCAGCTTCTCGTGTGACGACAAGGCGTCGGGAGGTTACTACGCGGACACGCAGGCCGAGTGTCAGATGTTTCACGTGTGTGTTCGCGTCAGCGAAGAAGAGGTGAGTGATGAAACTAGATCATATCTTAATACTAGATCTATCTAAATCTAAGATATAATATAATAAGATAATATAAATAAGATTATATCTTAAGATCTCTCTAAAACTAGATCTATCATAATCTAAAGATCTTATCTTTATATTAAGATAATATCTAAATCTAAGATGATATAACGATATACATTAAGATATAATCTAAATAAGATTATATCTTAAGATCTATCTAAAACTAGTACTGATTAAGATCTATCTTTATACTGTCTGGGGTGTTTCGTATCTTCCAGCCTAAAAGGTAAATAGCTGAAATAGCTTTTTAGGTAAATAGCTGAAGCGCTAGTAAACATATGACCACTAAACTATAAGTTGTTTGCTGTTCCACAGCGATTTTTCAAGTACAACATTTCCTATGTTTGAATGCGAATTTATAATTTTTCGAAGACAATCTTTGATTTTATTGCTTGCTAAGACAGCAGAAAACAGGATTGCTAGCGGCAAAATTCCTATAAGTGATGAATCGAACTAAGAAAAGCTATTTACTTTTTGAATCTTTTATGCAAGCGATCCTTCAAAAAAGATTGTTTCTTTTTAATTTAATAGTATTCGCGAGGAGTCCTTGATATAATGAGCTATGTAGCCGTATCAATTAAAAACCGGACAAGGTTCGAGTCTGATCAATGTACTTATAGGCGGAAGGTAATAAAATGATAATATTTATCAACATGGGATTTAGCTTTAGTCGTAGGTAATAAAAGAAACTTAATTGGCATTTGGCACAAGCTTTTGTTAATAAACGAATCGCCTAACTGTTTGACTATATCAACCTTAAAATACTGGCTATAACTACGATTTGTAAGACTCGATTATCACGTTAAAAATATGAAGCTGCTTCGCGCTCTCGCTAGAAATTTGTCGTTCAGTTTTGTTATAAAATAACTCGTTTCTACTGAAGGCCGGCGTCATATGAGATGTAGCTGCTTAAGTGGCATTGACGTTATAATTAATCAAATGTACGTATACGTCTCTCGCATTTACGGTTAGAAAACATTCATTTTTGGTAATGTGTAGAACATAATCCAATTATCAGTAAAAATCGTCTAGACACACACCGTATCTGTTATCATTGTCGTGAAACGTTGTACAACTATCATCTGAATATTAAAAAGAGTAACATTACGTTTACGTACGATGTTATACTCATGGCAGTGAATGTTACACATCGGGACGCTTAATTTACTGAGCGTGTTAACAAGATCTCATTATATATACAAAGCGTGTTACATCGCTAAAGGTTCATCCATATCGTGGCACTTAAATTTTAGAATCAAGGCTATACAATCGTGTCAAGGAATGGTTATCTAACTAAACATTAACCGTACTTTGCCTTCCGCTCCTGTTCGTATCACAATATTATTCAAGTTTCAGAACATTTAAATATATTGGTACCCTATTTGAAGCATGTTCGTAATTTTTTCATCTTTCAATCTCTTGTGGTTGTCAGCAAGTAGCCAATTGTCGTGTGGGTCATCAAAAAATCATTTGTGATTGCTAAGCAATCACTTGTCGTGATTGCTTGCAAGCCATCACTTGTTGGCGCCTTTCCTAGTTATCCAATGCATGATTGATAGACCGTAAACCTGTGCCAGTCTTATGATCTTTGCTGTCGTCCATGAAGAGATGTGGCTGAAAATTACGCTACAAGGTATTAGAGATCTATTCTTGAGTTACGTACCTGGTAATGACGAATGTTGAGGGTGATGAACGTTTTAGAATCGTTGGGTATTGTGTGTTGATAGTGATGAACGTTTTCAAATCGTCGGGTATTGTGTGTTGAAAATGATGAACGTTTTCGAATCGTCGGGTATTGTGTGTTGATAGTGATGAACGTTTTCGAGTCGTCGGGTAATGTGTGTTTTGATAATGATGAACGTTTTAGAGTCGTCTAGTATTGTGTGTTGAAAATGATGAACGTTTTCGAATCGTCGGGTAATGTGTGTTGATAGTGATGAACGTTGTCGAGTTGTCGGGCATTGTGTGTTTTGATAATGATGAACGTTTCAGAGTCGTCTAGTATTGTGTGTTGATAGTGATGAACGTTTTCGAGTCATCAGGTACTATTTTGTGTTGGTTGTTGAAAATATTTTGGAGTCGTGTGGTAATGATGTATGTTGGCAGTGATGAATGATTCAGAGCCGTCTGGTTTCTTACTTCACCAAATTGTTTCAACTTTCTCTTCTATTCGACTGTGAAGTTTGCTGTCTCGAGTTTCCTGCAAAGTACTGTTGGCATGTCCAATTCGAAGTTTCTGCCAATTGTAGCAATGGGGTAGGACGGAATTTTTTTGATAAAATACTAAGAAATTTTTAACAAATTGGATAGTATTATTCGTAAGCTTGACTGTTCTTCCAGAAAAGTCAGATTTGTATTTGGTCACAGCAACGTTGCACCAGATAGATATAATCACTAAAATTCTGTCTTCAGCTCTGTGCATGCAGTGTTTTAGATATGAAAGCAAACTTTTTCCTTCCTAACCGTACAATTTTTTTCGTTTTCGATACATTTATAAGTGCAAAACCAGCCTCATAACATTGCAGTGCCAACAATGTACCAAACACTTATTAACCTCTGCAAATAATTCGTTTGTAAGATCGATAAAAACGACTCAAAAATCGGTTCAATGGGTACGAAAATTACATCTTTTGGTTACAACACTCAGTTGATATAGTCTAGTAAGATCAATAAAGAGAGAGTCAAAAATCGGTTCAATGGGTACGAAAATTACATAATTTTGGTTACAACACCCACTTGATATAGTCAAACCTCGCTCGAGATCATAGAACTTACATACATACTTAATTGACCCCTCACCTCTCCCAATGAACCAATGCTATAGTGACTGGTCTACGTGCATCGCTGCATGATACATGTTCCCGGTTGCGACGCGTGTGTGGAGATTGTGAAGTTGATTGCCTTTGTTGAGGCACTCGGAGGCTCATTCTGAACTTTCTCTCGCATTGGACGGTTTGCTTTGTTCCTGCTTAGACTGGCAGAGATCGAACTGCCGCCGACGACGCTGACCCCGTTCACTCTTACTGCGATCTACCAAGTTGATTAAATTCATAAAAAAATGTAAAGGTATGGATGGGTGATTAATTCATACCGAATTGAATTCGTTCAGGAATCATTTTCTAGTTCTTGGTAACATTTTTTATTTGTTATCAGTGAATTAATTTGAGACAATCTATTAATATTGTCATGTGTGAGAAGCAAGAGAGAAGTGCATATCTTCCTCTTCACCCTCAAATATCATTAATAACTACTAATGTTATCCTTAGACAAAGGGTTAGATTGTGGACAAATTTTTTAGAGTAAAATTCATCTACATCCATCGAAGCAACAAATTTAGATTGTGAGGGGTCGGATAACTGTTGAAAAAGCTCATTTTAAATACTCAAAAGGATTTCTGAAATTATATTAGAGGTTAAGCTAGAAACTTGGGGTTCCGTTATAGTTATACTATCAAGAAACAATAATATTGCGTCTAAAGCAACGATTAATATTGCTAAATGATTTCCGCTCAAATTTGCCACTGATAAAACATTCGTATGGTATTTCTTTTTCACAAATCTGTAATAAGTAAATGAATGACTGATTCATACACGCTAAACCAACTTAACAGCGAGTTACTGATTTGAAGATGTGTGGATGTCATTTGATTACATCTATAGATCGACTAATGTTTATACATCCTTTATGTCTGTACTCATATTTCTTTACTAAATATTTGGTATACCTGACCCTAATAAATTGTAGTTATCCTAAAATAGTCCCTAGTCTTTGTAGACAAATTCGTCTGCTTCGCTCAACCCATTGTTTAAATGTCAGCAACGAGCTGGAGAATAAGCTCTCTATCGGTCAAATGCCGGTGAAAAATTCTGATTTACCATGGTTCCCCGATTGATACGATTGCTCTGTAGATGGAAAATGTTAAATGATAAGTTGAATCATAACTTTCTAAATATTTAAAAGAGGTATTTAGTACCTATTTAAGTTCGACAGGATTTTCATTAAGCTTAATCTCAATGTTGACCTGTCGGTTTGACAACGCCCGTCCTTTCAGCCTCTGTCACCACCCACTCCCTTTCACACTTCTAGTTCTAATTGATAGGTTCGTTAAAATTGACTCATTAGTCCTAATTTCGTTGCTTAAAAACTGCAATGCACATTATACAAGCTCACTGTAATAAAATTAATCATATGAAAATAATTTTCAGTGAAATGGTTACTACACCTTCAACAATTATTAAACTCATTCCATTCAAACTGACTAAATTGATCAGACAAAACCAAAAGTTGTCTTAATGCATCTCATTTGTAGTCTTACTTTACCTAACATCAGTTTAATCTATTCTTTTCACCTATACCCAGGCAACATTGTTGAACAACGAAGCGCCAGCGTCAATTTAGTCTACCATTTTTTTTTTATTTGAAAAATATTCAAGTTTTACTTATCTCTTGGAATTGATGAATAATCTTATTTTAATAATATTGATTTAATTGATAGATAATCTTATCTAAGGGAATGTTGAACTTACTAACAATTAACAATGTCAAGTTGGCGAGCGGCAGTCATTGAGACGCCGCCGAAGGAAACACTTTCACTGCAAATATTTTTTATCGCCAACAATCTATAGCAACAAGTTTGTGTTCTAGAAGAAAGTTGTGCACTGATGCTCTCACAAAAACGTAGAACGCAGCAATTTTCGTGAGAAATGTAATCGAGGTAGGGAGGTTAACGAATCGTGCTTGAATGGGAGGTTAATGAATCGTGCTTGAATGGGAGGTTAATGAATCGTGCTTGAATGGGAGGTTAATGAATCGTGCTTGAACGAGAGGTTAATGAATCGTGCTTGAATGGGAGGTTAAGGTATCCTGCTTGAGTCATATTTTATTTCTCAACTTTTGTAGAGAGTGCTGGTGATTGTTTAGGGTAAATTACGTAGTGAAGCCATTAATTTCTAGTTCAATTTACTAATTGATAATGAAAGTTACGATGAAGAGAGTTGAAATCTTGCTACTCTAATTTCAGAGGAAATTCAAGGCAGTGATTGCTGAGCGAGGAGATTTAAAAAAAATTGTTAATTTCAAATAAATTTAGGCGAATTTCAAATAAATTTATGTGAAATTCACATAAATTTTGAGGAATTTCCAAAAAATTGTGGCAAAAAATACTTAAAAATTGATTTTTTTTTATTCTGTAACCTTGGTTTATCTGAGTTTTAAGCAAACTAAAGATATGAATACTTTAAAGCGAGGAGCATTTCACGACCAGTAACCTTTCTTTCATATCTCAGGTTCCATCGTATAAATTGTCTTCGCTGTACACCACACATGACTACAATATAGTTTATATTCAATATAGTTTATATTCAATATTTATTTACAGCACGAAAAGTTAAGAAGGCGCCCGAATAAATGACGCCTATTCAATTTTTTGCTGCCAAGCAACGTAATAGGCTGACAACCAAAGCAGTTTAAATTTATTATGAAAGCATTGTGCAGGGTAGAAAGTGCGAAAAATAAACTTTAACATTAATGATTCGTTATGTGTTTTGATGCTTTAAATCGTTGATTTGCTGTAAATTTGATGATTCTTCTAAAAATAAGAAATACTGTGCATATGGCGACAGAATTCATGTTGGAATATGAACTTTCATTAGAACCATCAAGCTATAATTGCTTATATTATCAAGTTTTAATTTAGCTTGTTTAATAAGCAAGTTAATTGCTTATATCATCGAGTTATAATTGTTTCTGGGACCTATTACTGTTTAATAGAGCTCCAATATCTTATTTTCCTGTTTCAAGTTAAGTTGCTTTTCGTTGTAAAAACTTCGTAAATTGCAAAAACTCCATTATAAGACGCGAGTGTCTTCGATATCGTCAAAACTTTTACTGTGTTGAAATGAACTCATAATTCACGTCCCTTTTTCTTATCTACGAACCACAAGCTGTTCAATTTAACTTTATTCCCAACTTTCCTCCAGCCTTGCTGTTTATGACAATGACTGATTCAATTTAGATTTACAGTCAGATTGACTGCGAGATGAACGTCAATCAAACCATTAACTATATTCATTCCTTGGTTACGAACTTTGTTTTTTCTCATACGCCATTCGTTTTACCGATAGATTAGAGAAGAGCGATTCTGTTATGAGAATACGACTCAAACAGCGTCATCACAGCTGGAGGATGTTGCTTACAGTTGGAACTTATTTTTCTCAATTTTGGGTGTGTTTAAAAGTATGTATTATAGAATACGAATCCTACTTTCCTTTTTTATTTCGTTTTGCCTCATTTCATCAAAATTTTTTATCTCGTTTCTTAACTTGAAAGGAAAATCAAGGTGTTTTTCCAAGCATTTTGGTGACAATTTTCCTAGAGAACACAAAAAAATATAATTTTTTAGAAAAAATTTAGCTTTTTTGGAAAATTTCAAAATTGTGAGTTTCCTAAAATTTTTTATTTTTAAATTTTCGTTTGTTGCAAAATATTACTGTAACTCTTCCTTCCTCTAATTACATTCTATAGTAAATTTCCCTTCGGAGTGTGTAAGTGAAACCTGACCTCTAGCCCTTCTCATTTTCTGAACGCGTATCAACGTAATGAACTCATTCATGATTATAGTCCCACTGCTATTGTTCCATGTCAGTAGTGTCCTTGAAAAAGTTTCGAGTTTATAGGCTAGTGAGCCTAAGTTGAAGTAATTTTACAGAGGCAGTTCTGCTACGGTATTGTGCAGCACCCTTGACACTAGGCTGGCGTGACGCTAGTTCACGTGTCGCAATGAGCTTCGTGGCACGATCCTTTAATATGCTTGCTGAACTTGACCCTAGACGGCTTGAAATTTCTTTATTTCTCTGTGCCGAGGTCTAATATGCAGAGATCGTTCTTGTTTCGAGCTTCTATGTTAAGCTTATGGGTTGCGGATTGATAATGTCAATACTGTTTAGAATGAGTAAATAACAGTCTGACTTAACTCAGGAGCATATATGTCCTCTTTTTTGATCGATATTTACAGGAAAATTTTGAACTGTCGACGAAATACTTCTTACTCATCATCAAGATACCCTTAAAAGTGAAGCAAGAACAACTTTTGGGCGCAGCAATTTTTAAGAAATAACATCTTAATCTATAGGTAACTTGTATCTGGACAAGTCCTCCGCTTGTTCCTATGATTGCAGTAGGGCGTATTCAATAATTATTTACCTCAACAGTTGAATTCACTATATCAATCTTCTCGCCACGAAGGTCTGTTAACGGCTTGAAAATATTTGCTATCAAAGTCATTGTTGATTTGGTCTTACCGTCTATCGATCGAAGTCGCATCGCGTCTTCAGTATGCGAAGAATTTCTTAGGCGCTGCAGCGCCAGTCACGCCTTGCTGGAGTGCCTGCCACTTTCACTGCCACAAGCCTTCATTTCGTCTCGCGCTCTGGGCTCGCTGCTTTGTACAAATATTATGTAACATGTTAGTAAGATGTGTATCGGCGTGTTTTTTAAGGCGTCTCCAAGTGATTTTGTTTCATCTAAATTTCTAGGATTGTTTAGAATCGGTGACACGAATGGAGGCTAACGCGGACCACGATTCAAATCAATTCGTGTTCCATGTGTAACACGAACCAAATAAGCGCGAACGAAATTTAGTGTTACTGATTACGTTCTCCGGTCGTTATTACGTCTGAGCTAACGGTGCGTGGAAAATGTCTGAATTATGGAAAAGAGTTTCCCTATTTACTTCACTTGTTCCCCCCCCCTCCCTCTATTTAGCATGATTACTTTTTGTAATGGCTCTTGTACAAAAAAATACGATGAAATAATACTACATATCAAGTTAATTTTTTGTTATCTCGATTTTAAACATTACTGAAACTTACCTTCTATACTATTATCGTGGTAAAAGATTAGTGATACTATTCGCCCAACTAATTTTTTTTTCTTTTTACAGATCCGCGATCACAAATTCTTGTGTCCGAACGACACAATCTTCGACCAGCAGAATTTTATCTGCGCCAGCTGGTGGGACACCGAGTGTAAACCGCTGCCATCTTACGACGATAAGAACGAATTAATTCGACCCAACGATCCTTGGGCACAACAAACTCCAATAAAAGAAGAAACTAAACCTCTTTCCGAGAAGGAGTTCTACTACGACTACTTATTAGAATATGAAAATGCCAACAGGCCTTCGGCGGGTGTCACTGAATATGAATACCAGTATTATGACGATGCCGGGACACAGGAGAGAAATTCAGAAAACAGAAATTCAGAAAACCGTCAGAATAAGGGTTTAGGATATGTGATGTCGTCTCTTGCTAGGTCTGTGTCGAGACCAAAGTCAGCAGTAAACGATATTAAAACTACTTCTGATTACGTTGTTTCTACCAAAATCGGCTCTCAATCTACATTAGATCCCGTCGTGGAATCTTCTGCCCCGACAACCAATAAACCAATTATTTTTTCAACGAGACGCACAACTCGTCAGACAGAAATCCCTACGACCTCACAATCACCGATCTTATCTCCATTTGCTGTACCGTTCGAAGTCGGCAAGCCTGTCGTTTCTATTAGTAGCACTTCGTTGAAATTCGAAGTGTCGTCTCCGAGATATGTTGAGTCTACTCCTCGTTATGGTTATTTTTCTGTTGAACAGCCGTCTTCTACACCCAACTATCCTCGACAGAGCGTATCGACTATTTCTGCCAAAGTCATACCAGAATCAACCACCTTGAAAAGCACCACTCCTGCTCCACTACTCACGTCGACACCCAAACCCTATCACTCTAACAATAATTCTACTTATCAAAGAGTGAAAGAATATAAAGCAGAAGATTTCGCTGCGTTTTCTGACGCAGAGGATCCTTTTGCAGACATTGACTGGAAAAAGGATGTATCCGATGGGACTGCCATAACCAGAACACGCTACGAAACGGATTTCGGTGACCAGGAGTTAGGGAAGCAAAAAACCTCCACTTCAAAGCCAGTTAATTTGAGGCGCAACTTGGAAGCAGATGTGACTACAGCAGCCAAAAAGCCGCCTGAACCTCTAAAAACTGTGAGCGTCTCAAGCAGTTCTAGCTCAAGCATTGGCACCAGAAATATAGAGGCGGTGACTCCAAATTCTAGACGGCGATCACGACGCAGAAAGATCAATAGAAGTGAAGTTTCATCGACTACTACGGAAGCTTTGTCTTCGGACCACACATCAAATGACCGACGTCAAAGAATTTATACCGGTCCTTCGCGGCAGGATTTTTCCAATTTTCGATATTTTAAGACTGCTTTCGGCAATACCGAAGTCATTGAGCCCAGAATAAATTCAACTCGTTCAAACCGATCTCGTCTTGCTTCGGTGCGCGTTGGCGAGCCTTTCATTGCGAGGAGACGAGGAAAACAGCAAGACGAAGCTTCCGTATCTGCATCTCGAAGTACACGCTACTCCATATATGCTTAATTACGGTCAAAAAATTCCGTTCCGTGCCTCATAACTATTTCTGACTTAATCACCTAATATTGATTATTAACTGAATAACTTTTATTGTTAACTGATAATATTCCGCCATGTGGTTTAGAATGAATTTTTAACACCACACGGATATGGACACCTATGCAGATTTGTGGGATATGGTCTCTCGACAAAGAGAAGTAAAGTTGTTGATGTTGAACTAATAAAATCAAGAGAGTAATGATATTCATTACAAATCATCAGCTGGTTTGAAGCTTTGCCACGCCATCTAATTTCTATTGAAACTTGCGTTCTCAAGAGAGTTCTGTGTCGGAATGAGTCTTCGTATGAATTGCATCATAATGTAATGATACAATAACATAATATTATTCCCGCTGTAATGTTATCCCGCGTTGAGTGGTCAGACTTCATGGTTGTTTATACAAACTGTACTATAACCAATCTGTACAAACTCTACAATCTCATTTAGAGATAAAATAGCTCGATAGTTCCTGTGGGATAAACTCTTCGTTGGGAAATTCTAAGTCAAATTCAAACTAACATTCGCAGAATAGTTTTTGATATATTTGCTGTGTGACACCTCGTGTTTCTCTTATCAATAATAAAAATATCAATGATTTCTCGATAGATGAATGATCAATGGAGCTGATAAATTTCAGAAATAATTTAGATAACCTGAAGATATTGTGTTAAATTTTTGAAATTGTGTCAGGTTGTTACCATTTAAGCAGCTGGGAACAAGTACAAGAGCACGATTTATTTGAGAGAAGTTTCATTAATCCTTACATTGTGAGTAGGAATGGGATTGTTATACTGGTAATAGAGAAGCGCATTTAGTTATTGATGAAGATTCTATGTATGCGGGCGGCTTGTTCGCAGTGCAAACTTTGGTTAAGACCTGTTGAAATAAGTTTCATCGTCGAACAAATTTCATACATTTTTCAATTAAATCTTTCTGAAATTCTTGTCTTGTGCGAATTCATGCAAACAAGAAATTTGAAACGAGGCAGAAATCGATTACTCTTGAGGTAATTTGTTTGTTATGTTTTAGGCATATATTTAGCATATATTATCAGATAATAATTGAAGAAACATCAATTAATATGCAGTCTCTTTGAAAGACCTCAAATAGTAATAAAGATTTTGTCAATTCAGATTATTTATTCATGCATAGAATGACATTAGACATTGTACATTATGTTGCAACACACAGTGTGCAGTTACGCTGGACATTTAAGTAAATAGAAAACACTTGGTACCAAATGCATTTAAACGTTAATAGAGTAAAATAATCTCTATTCGTTGTTTTGACAATTTACGTGGACTAAAATAGGACGGTTTTTAAATAATAACAGGATGTATTTACATGTTCATCTTGAAGCGATGCGATGGGGAATTAGATCGAGCTTAGATTATTTAATGAATAAAATGTACAGACCAAACTTTAGAGATTGTGCAATACGTAATTGATCTACTGCACTTAACTATAAAGGTAGATCTATCCTATGACTTTCTTAAATATTATAAAAGGCAAAGAGTATTTCCACTTTCACTGTACATTTCTTTTTACATTTCTACAAAATCGAAGAATGGTGAGATTACAGATTATCTGTGATTCATTTCATACATGAAACTAGATACCAATGCACACGATTCATAATGATCGCGTAACTCGTCTGATCCGAACATGAATTGTACACCAAGTATTAATTAAAAAGTAAAAAAAAATCTGATTAACTCATCGCAGGTCCTTGAAGTAAGGTAGTTGATTCTTAAAAAGATTCGTGGAATATTATACTGGAAGAATACGAAAATTTGAACTTCTATGTTAAAAACCTGAAAAAGCACCCGGGATTACTCACGCACCCAACTGTGGCGGCATATATGAATATGAATTAAACCAAGGAACATCAATGCTCAGGAAAATAACTTGTCGCCAATAGGCGATTTAAGGAGGCTTCTAGTATAGGAATGAGTTTGTAAAATGCTTTTATCATTCACAATTTTAACGCTGCGTTGAGATATGTTCCAATATATTATAAAAGCAATAGGCGACATAAGTACATGTCTTCGTAGAACAAGCTTTCGAGTCTCGTTCTGGAAATCATGGAAGATTTTCGATTCTGCCAAGACTAAGATAAAAATTTAATGCAAAAATTGGAGACTGCAAAGCACAGTTACACGCAGAAATTTTTTTTATTGTAAAGATTGCGAGATCTTTATTTTCCTAGCGTCAATCGACAAGTTATACGAAAACCCACAACGGCAAGCACATACAATACTCTTTGGCAAACAATAAATAACGTATAATAATGTACAGTAAGTTCTCAGAATGCGTCTTGCGTAATAGATATGTAAGCGAATAATTTACGAACGACGATGGAGAGAACTGTCGATGTCATGGCAGCATGATGTAAGTCATAATGAAAGTCAACTTCATGTAAGTCAACTTCATGGCGGTAAGTCATCATGTAAATAAAATATCTTGATCTTCATATACAAAGAAGGAAAGCTCCATACCCGGATAGAGAATTATGAGAGTATCTCTGATGCCAAAAATGACATTAATAAACTAGGCTGACACAGTTCTTCGGGCACTTTTATTTTAAAACGTTGACTCCGATTGCTCCATCTTGTACCATTATATAATTTTTTGTACTATTTTGAATTAAATTCCAGTCCTGGAGAAATACACTTCGTGGTACGCACATGTACCACTTCAGAGTCAACGTGTTAACTTCCAATTGACAAGTAGTAACTTCATAAAAATTATCTGCGGTAAAAATTAAATTAGAACAGCAAGTAATGAAAGGTGTTTCTTTCAGTCGTGAGAGTACGATTTATCTTCATCAAAAACCGTTTTCCAGATATCCAAAAGTTTCATTTTCACAAACACGGAATTCGGTTGTAAGCTTAAAGACTTAAATATCATATTTTAAGTGAAAGTTCGCACAATTCCAGATGTTTGCTCATTAATTTCTCAACTTCACGAAATCCAAGCATTCACGAATGGCATAGAGAACAATACATTGCGATAAAAACATTACATTTTACACATTACGAGTATTCATTTCGCTTTAGACACTGGGACGAACATTGCGTTTAATATTCATTTCGCTTTCGACACTGAGGCAAAAATGTTGCCTTATAGTTCATTTCGCTTTAGAGTTTAGACACAGGCAAAATTTTCGCCTTGATATTCATTTTGCTTTAGACACCGAGGCAAAAATTTCGTCTTAATATTTATTTCGTTTTAGACACAGGGGCAAACATTCCGCTTTAATGTTCATTTCGCTTTATACACTGAGGCAAAAATTTTCACCTTAATATTCATTTCGTTCTAGTCACAGGGGCAAAAATGTTCCTTAATATTCACTTCGCTCTAGACACTGGTTTCAGAGTTAAGTCTGAGGACGAACTTGTTGCTCTTGGGATGGATAATTTCTTCACTAATATTGTAGTGTGGCAAGGGCTGCACACAACACAGCAACGACACGTCGTTCTGTCGGAGCTGGAAGACCGTGCCTGCTTTGATGGGTCGGGACAACAGCTGCTCGCACACCAACCCCCACGACTGAACGCCCCGATGCTCTTGGTCGTTCTGAAAAGAAATAAAATTAATAAAGAACGTTGTTGTTTGAAGTAGCAAGGTCATTTTAATTAAAACAATTTATCTGCTGCGCGGATCGAATCAAAAGCAAGTGATCTGAGGCGCATAATTGAATTAATGACAATTTGTAAAAACTTTCGAGTCAATTTTGAATAAAAGAGTAGGCAATGTAGTAAATTAAATTACTGCTGAGTTCAAATATATTGTAAATACAGATTACGGGAATAAGTAGGTAGTTTTTTGATCTTCAATGTTAACTTCAAACAAAAAAGTCGTGTTGGGCACTAAAATACTTTTTTGCTCAACTATATTGTGAACATTGTGAACAGTGGCAGTATGCACAGTAACAGTATGAACAGGAGCATCAGTTCCCTATTGTTGAAAGAAAGCTTTATAAGCTACAGCAACTAAGTTTTCCAGAACATAAACAGGGGTTGGACAAAACAAAGGGAACACCTTAAATATCTACAAAATATTTCTTATTATGGTGTAGGTCCATTTTTTGCGGTAATCACAGCCTCAGTTCTCCGAGGTATTGATCCATTTTGTCCAACCTGTTTCTCGGTCCCTAGGCTGTCAATGTCTTGGCACTGACCTGCAGTATGGGCGTAGGCTGCCAATGTCTTGGCACTGACCTGCAGTATGGGAGTAGGCTGCCGATGTCTTAACACTGACCTGCAGTATGGGAGTAGGCTGCCAATGTCTTGTCACTGACCTGCAGTATGGGCGTAGGCTGCCAATGTCTTGGCACTGACCTGCAGTATGGGAGTAGGTTGCCAATGTCTTGTCACTGACCTGCAGGATGGGCGTAGGCTGCCAAGGCCTTGACACTGACCTGCAGTATGGGCGTAGGCTGTAGATACTTCTCCAGGAAGGCCCTAGGACTCATGTCATGCTGGAGGCAGAGGGCCAGGTGGCTGAGGATGGCATCCATGCTGTGGCGCGGCTGTTGGCGCGTCACTCTCAGGTACTTCTGAAGAGCTCGAGCTAGACCTGGGAATATGGACTGCGCTGCTTCCTGGGGGTTCATGGGTGCAGAAGGACCTGAAAAAAGGTGATAAATTTATTTCTAAACTTACTGTAAGGATGTAAAATTAGGGATGTAGAATTAGGGATTTAAAATAAGTTTTAAAAGGGACTGTATGGGAGGCGACAACAGTGGAGTGAAATATGGACTGTGCTGCTTCCTGAGGGTTCATTGGTGCAGAGGGACCTGGAAAAAGTGATACAATTTATTCTGTGAAGTTACGGTAAGAATGTAAAATTAGGAATGTAAAATTAGGGAAGTAAAATTAGGGATGTAAAATTAGGGATGTAAAATTAGGCATGTAAAATTAGGGATGTAAAATTAGGCATGTAAAATTAGGGATGTAAAATTAGGCATGTAAAATTAGGGATGTAAAATTAGGCATGTAAAATTAGGGATTTAAAATAAGTTTTAAAAGGCACTGAATGGGAGGCGACAACAGTAGGGATCGACCGCGACATGTCAGTTTGGAAGCCAGTAGTTATACAGTAAGTCAATTAAAGTTTTACTGTGCATTACTGTCAATGACACTTTAGTCGCCATTTAGCAGATATTGCATTTAACTCGCCGCTATAAACCGTACAGTTACAGTTTCGAATACGATATGAAAACTCCGAGGCTGTTTTGATCGTGCGTAGGAAATTTTTTGGTCAGTTTAATTAATAAAAATCGTTTATTTTGAAGGCCTACGACCTAAGTACTACTGCAACTTAAGTGGCATTGACGTTAAAGCTTTATAAAACTCGTGTAATAAATTGAAACAATGGTTGAATTGATCGTAGATCAATAACGCTTGATGTCAATTTTTCTTGAATTCTTCTGTAAATATTTATTAAATATTATTTTTTTTCGATTTATCATTAGAAAAAGATGAATAGAAATAATACAAGGAATAATCCGAAGATTTTTCCAGTTGCGCAAGTTAAATCAGCTATTAGAGGTGCTATTAGAGGTGCCATTTGGCCAGGAGAATTTGAAGTAAAGCAGTAAAAAATATTTCTGTTGATTGATATCAGTTGCGGCGAACCCTTTTACGGAAGTTGATAAATAATATTTAACATTTTAGTGAGAAAAATCTTTCTCTCAATTAGTAAATCTTTTTTATTGACACATTAGCAAACAGAAAGAGGATATGGACTGTGGAAAATAAATCAATGAAACTACTCATGGAAGGTGGAAACTCATAATATTTTGATAACTATTTTTTATGATAGATATTTTGATAATTTTTTTTATGATAAACATTATTCTAAATATTTTATGTGATAAATATCTTGATAAATATTTTCTATACTAAATATCTTGATAAATATTTTTCATGATAAATATCTTGATAAACATTTTTTTATGATAAATATCTTGATAAATATTTTTCATGATAAATATCTTAATAAACATTTTTTATGATAAACATTTTTCTAAATATTTTTAATGATAAACAATTTTTTATGATAAATATTTTTCATGATAAATATTTTGATAAATATTTTGGCCTAACCATGTTCCTCGTGCATGCGCTTGATGTGCGTGAAGGCCTCCTCGGCGGCGGTAAGCAGTCGTGCGCGTCGCTTCCTGACGCGGCGCTCGTACTCGTGCTCCTCGTAGAAGCGCTCGTTGTGCGCAGAGTCGCGCCGACGCGCGTTGGCTGTGAGCATCGCGCGCGTCTGGCCCTGCCGTCACAACGGTCATGGTTATGATAATATATTAATAAATTAATTAATTTCGTAGTTAATTTAGTATATCTAGCAATCAGTCAAATCAATTTTGTAATGTAATGCAATTATACGAAATATCTTTTTCGTAGTTAATTTAATATATCTAGCAATCAGTTACATCAATTTTGTAATGTCATGCAATTATACGAAATATCTTTTTCGTAGTTAATTTAATATATCTAGCAATCAGTTACATCAATTTTGTAATGTAATGCAATTATACGAAATATCTTTTCATAGTAAAAAAGCGCTCAAATAAACAATATTATGTAAGACATGACAACCATCACGGTTATGTTAATATATTAATAAATCAATTAATTTCGTAGTTAATTTAATATATCTATCAATCAGTCAAATCAATTTCGTGATCTATGCAATTATGAAATATCCTTTGGGCCTATTTCATCAATGCCGACACTTCTATTCTAATAAAAATGGGTATAAATAAACGATATTAATGTAAGACATGACAACCAACAGGGTTATGCTACTATATCAATCAATCAATCAAAATAATTCCGTAATCTATGCAATTACGGAATGTTTTTTCACAATAAAAATGGGCATAAATAAATGATATTAATGTAAGATTTGAATACGATACACCAATCAGTATATATATGCTATCAAAGAAAGATATTAATACAAGGAATTAAATAAGATATCGACTAGAACTTTAAAGCGCAAAATATACCAAGCAGGTCCCAATTTTGAAATAAATCCTTCATCTGAAGATCGACAAATCGACAAGCAACAATAATTAAGGAGTAAGACAAAATTGACGCATGTTAAATCCAAATCATTCTCATGCATCAAATGAATTACTTTATTTAATAAGTAAAAATCTCACCTCAGCCCCGGTCACTGAACCATCAACATCGTAGTATTTAAATGAAGAAGAGTTCGCGTTATTGGACTTCTTCCTCATGGGGATGCGGTCGAGGTAGGGATTGTAGATGGGGAAGTCTTGGTAGTATCTCTCCAGCACCCAGGCGGCCGCTCGCTGTACGCTTAGTTGCCCGATGTTGTACCAACTGAAATACGCGTAAAAACAATTATTATTAATTGAAAACCAATTAATTCTCACTCACATTATAGCCGATGTTTTTTCAACTGCAATACGGGTTAAATCAATTACGTATTATTGATGACATTGTAAATCAACTGATTCTCACATTACACCCAATGTTGTACCAACAGCAATACGAGTAAAATCAATTATTATTATTGATATTTTAAATCAATTAATTATCACATTACAACCGATGTTTTATCAACAGCAATACGGGTAAAAGCAATTATTATTATTGAAATTTTTAAATCAATGTATTCTCACATTACACCCGATGTTGTACCAACTGCATTACGGGTAAAATCAATTATTATTAATGACATTTTTAAATCTATTAATTCTCACATTACACCCGATGTTTTATCAACTGCAGTACCGTACGCGTAAAATAAATTATTAGTAATGACATTTTCAATTATTTGATTCTTACATTACACACCAATTTGTATCAATTGCAATACGGGTAAAATCAATTATTATTAAAGAAATTTCTTTATCTATTAATGACATTAATTCAATTTATAATGAATTAATTAAGTTTAATAATTAAAAAAGGTAATTCAATTTATTAATTATTTAAAAATATTATTAATTTAAGTAAATTAAAATTAATTTTGAAATTAATTAAATTCATTAATGACATTATTTATCACATTACAACAATTTGAGTTAAAATGGCGTTATGTATTAAGAAAAAAGAGAAATATTTTCAATATAGCAGATTACGTGCAATATCGAGGATAACACCAATATACAGTGGATGTAATTATGAAAAAGTAATTATAATATTTTAGTGGCTCATTTAGCATTTTGGAACTTTCAAAGAAATTATAAGGAAATATTTTAATCAAATATGAAAAAATAGTCTGCACTTAAGTCAAATCAGTTAATTCACGTGATTGGAGGGAGCTTTGGGGTAAATTGCTCCTTTTTTAAAGTAAACATATTCCCAAACTATTTTGCGAGTGTTTTTTTTTTTAATTTTTCTTGTACACATCTTCCCTCGGGATCAGAATATTAATTCAAGCGATTGAATGTCTTAAGCAATATTTTAACACGCGCTGATTTGGTAGCAGCTATATATTAAAAAATAATTTAGTAAAGAAAGTTGTATTCTACTTGAGTTAAAGATGAAAAAAATGATTATAAACATTTGTCGTGACCAAATAAGTATTGACTCAACATCTACTGAAAGGTAAAAATCTGTCAAACTTACAAGTGTAGCCTAGAAAAAGTTGTTCGGGCTCGTGAAATAGATAAATAAATAAAACGCTGTTGAAACAGATAACCAAATAACACGCTCGTAATATGAATAACCAAATAACATATTCATAAAATAGATAACCATAAAACAAGCTCATAATATAAATACCCAAATAACACGCTCAGGAAATAACCAATAACTTGTTCGTTCAAGTAATCACCAATTAATTACCTCAAGAAAGAATAAACAAAGAACTCGCTCATGAAATAAGTAACCGAATAACTCGCATATAAAATAAATAACCGATTAACTCGCCCTGGGAATAAATGATCAAAAACTCCAACATGAAATAAAAAAATAAATCGCTATTGAAATGAGGCTAGAATAAGTAGCATGTCACTTACCAGCTATGCCCATCCGGTGAGCGTAGAACTTTGATGCAATATTGAGGCGAGAGATGACGAAGCTCCAGCAGCACAACTGCTAAGTATTGAATGAAGAGAAGAGCATCTACGAGACTTAGTGAGAACTGCACCACACTGCGGTACTGCACCTGTAACATCACGAGACTTAGTGAGAACTGCACCACACTGCGGTACTGCACCTGTAACATCACGTGACTTAGTGAGAACTGCACCACACTGCGGTACTGCACCTGTAACATCACGATAGGAACAATTGCATACTTGCATTTAAATAGACATGAAGATTCTATGTCCTTGTCTAGGAATTGAAAATCTACATTCTGAACGAGAGCATTTTGAGTTTTCGCATTTCACATCACTTTGAATTTTCACTTGTTCGTTCACGTAAAGTTACTGAACAAGAGCTAACTTACTTACCATGACGAAGTAGAAATGCCAGTAGGAGAATTTCTAAATTCCTACGTAATTCATCTAATGTTAACAAAGAAGAGCAGTTCGCTGACCTGTTCCAGATCCTCCATGACCCTGACGACGTAGAACAGCCAGTAGGAGAATGTGAAGACGAACACGAGGAGCGAGATGAGTGCGCGGTAGATGAAGATACGTGGCATCGTGGCCTTAGGCTGCCTGTAGTGAAACATCAAGATTCAGAAAAATGATGCATATAATAAAACAATAAGATTGAGAAACAATAGGCCTGTAATGGAACATAAAGATTCAGAAACAAATCAATTAATTTATCCGATAAGTTAGGCGAACAAAAAAAAATACAAATCTCAAACATTGAAATATGATTGAATTGAATCCTAAACAATGAAATTATTTTAAGAAATACAACGATAAATACTACGATACGATATGATAATAACTACCTACTACGATTGCAAATGATACGGTTACAAATTATACGGTTACAAATGATACAGTAATAAATTATACGGTCATAAATCATACGGTTACAAAATATATGGTTACAAATTGGACGCTTACAAATTATACGGTTACGAATTATACGGTTACAAGTGATACGGTAACAAATTACTCGGAAACAGTTCGTTATACATACGGAAAAAAGATACAGGATACAGGAACACAGCAATTATAACAGCAAATTGTTCCCGTATAAAATGACAGACCTGAAAAAGACAGCCCACGAGGCGATGAGGAGAATGAGAAGCTTGAACGAGAAGCTGATGAGAAGACCATCACACTCAGCGTCACATTGAAGCTGATCACGCTTCAGCTGAAGCGCCGGCAGTCGGGGCACCAGCACCATCAGGATGGGGCTGAATAAAGAGGCTTCAGTAATTACAAGTTGATCCAGTTATTGCAATAATTCTAAGTTGATTCAGTAATTGGTTGTTAAGAAAATTAATAACTTTTGTTAAGCCGTGGCACCAGCACCATCAGGATGGGACTGAATAAAGAGGCTTCAATTATTCAAAGTTGATTTAGTAATTGGATGTTAAGAAAATTAATAACATTTGTTAAGCAGGTTACAGGTATTACACTTTATAAGATAGGTAATTTAAATCAAGCGAGATTGGAAACAAATGATAAATTTACACATAGGATTCCACACTGTCCATTCTTCGAAAACTTTATAAAATGAATTATTCTAACAATAAATACACTTTTTAACAATAAATACACTTTTCAACAATATATATACTTTTCAACAATGAATACACTTTTTAACAATAGATACACTTTTTAACAATAAATACACTTTTTAACAATAAATACACTTTTTAACAATAAATACACTTTTTAACAATAAATACACTTTCTTCCTGAATAAATGACTAAAGTCACTGCACGCGTCACCTCATGAAGGCAAAGAGCGCGACGAAGGCGCAGACTGCCGAGCCTGCGTAGCGCTGACACACGAACGTCGCGCTGTGGTCTGCGTCGCGGGACATCACCGCCAGGTCCTGATAATAAAAAAATAATTAATTGGCTAGTGAACAAGCGATTGGCTAGTGGATTAATTGGTTAGCGAACAAGAGATTGGCTAGCGAACAAGCGATTGGCTAGCGAACAAGAGATTGGGTAGCGAACAAGCGATTGGCTAGCGAATTAATTTGCTAGCGGAGAAGCGATCGACTAGCAAATTGATTAGCTAGCGAATTAATTGGCTAGCTAAAAAGCGATTGGTTAGAGAAGAAGCGATTGATTATTAATTCTGATGCCACCAAAATGTATGATCGGTATTAGAATTGCATTACAATAATAGGGTACTCATTATTTTGTTTTAAAAATTTTCAAATAGATTGTTAGTATCAACATTCATATTTTCCAAAGGAGAATGCCAAGTGAACGCTTGGCTAAGAAAACGCCAAGTAACGCTAGCATGTTTTCATAAAGAAATGGTGAATTTACTTCGAGTTTTCTTTGCATTTAAATTCTTGGTGAACTTGCGATTTAAACAGACTAATGTCATAAGCATTCATATGCGTTTTTTCCTTATTCATCAATATGATTCATTCTGGAGGAAGAGAATAAAGATAAAAGTAAAGAGGTGCAGACCTAGAATGAATCAGGTCTTAACCTACGGACCTGGAATGACTCAGATCTGACGGACCTGGAATGACTCTGATCCTACGGACCTGGAATGACTCTGATCCTACGGACCTGGAATGACTGCTCCCACGGACCTGGAATGACTCTGATCCTACGGACCTGGAATGACTATCCTACGGACCTGGAATGACTCAGATCCCACGGACCTGGAATGACTCAGATCCTACGGACCTGGAATGACTCTGATCCTACGGACCTGGAATGACTGCTCCCACGGACCTGGAATGACTCTGATCCTACGGACCTGGAATGACTTTGATCCTACGGACCTGGAATGACTCAGATCCCACGGACCTGGAATGACTCAGATCCCACGGACCTGGAATGACTCAGATCTTACGGACCTGGAATGACTCTGATCCCACGGACCTGGAATGACTCCGATCCTATGGACCTGGGGCCATACTTTCAAAACTCGCTAAGTGAACGTAAGTACTTAAGCCCAATTTTCTTGTCTATGATTGGTGGATTTTGCTTGAAAAATCGTCAATGATTGGCTGATGAACTTACGATCTCTCAACTTTTCTTAAAGTATAGGCCCTGGAATGACTGATCCCATGGACCTGGAATGACTTTAGTCTGATCCTACGGACATGGAATGACTCTAGTCTGATCCTACGGACCTGGAATGACTCTAGTCTGATCCTACGGACCTGGAATGACTCTAGTCTGATCCTGTCTCTTATACACATCTAGATGTGTATAAGAGACAGCGTCGGTATTCAGAGCGATTCAACACGCGTCGGTTCAGAGCGATTCAACACGCGTCGGTTCAGAGGATACCACAAACCATTTCAATCTAGCAAGGTTTAAATGAATAATGTTAAAAACTTTTTTTTTCTATTGAGACAGTTATTTTAATATTAAGCACGCGGAAAATCTACTTCGGCACGCTAAACCCAACGAAAGAAACTCGATAACCGAAGCATGATAATAGATGATTCCCGTCGTACCAGAAGATATTGTATATATAACGCTGTTTTTGTGTCCATATTTCCAATTTTCGAAGCATGGTAATATATATTATGACAAATTCTGAGATTGGTTTATTTATGAACAATTTTTACACATTTAGTGCAATGACATCCCAGATCGAGGAGAAGTTAAGCGGCAGCATGGAAGAGGCCTTGAGAATTCGCTAACAAACGGCCATTGCCAGCGACAGAGCGCCGAAAAACGCACGGAACAGGTGTTGGTTCGATTGAATACGTCGTTAGAACAATAATAAGGCATATATCATTCGGATTGAAGAGCTTGAAATCATTTTCCGGACTCACAATTACCCCAATAAATAGGAATGGGAAGATAAGGGAGTCAATTTAAACTTGTATGGATTCGTACAAATCGTCACAGTATCAGTATAAAAGTTAAGTTTTGATCGAACGTTGTTCAAACGCACATTTCATTTTAAATTTTTTTTTTCCATTTTTTCCCGCTTCATTTTTTTTCATTCACTTTGTATGATATCTACATTGGAATAAATTTTTACAGAGATAGCGTATGCAGTGGAATGTGAATCCCAATCTCTCAGCGGGCATTAGAAATGCAGCCTCGCAGTGACAGACCAATATATAAGTATGTGTTAGACTTACAGCCGACAAATGAAGAGTGAACTAGTTTTTCTGCAAGAACCGGCGAAGCTATGTTCTAATTAACCAAAATGTCGTGTTGAACAAATGAACACTCAGGAAGCGAGAGGCTGAGGTTAGTAAGTTAGAGGTTAGTAAGAAAGAACAGACACGCACCAATAGATCTGATGCGACTGAAGATAGGCATTCTGTTTAAGTAGAGTAGGCGCCTATTTTGTACTTGGATTGAAAGATTGTACTCGAACTAAATTACAAAATCACAAAAAATTAGCAAAATTAAAGTATTGATACATAAACGAATACATCAATATTCGACAAATTTGAGTCGTTAGAACCTCCTAGCGCGGATGATTCGTGAATGAAAGTATATCAATTTTAATAGGATAAATGGACCAACATGTCGTGACGGGCGGTAAATATACACAGTGAATTTCTAGAAGTGTCGACGCTGAAGAAACAGGCCCATGGCCTGAGCTTCTTGATTCACGACTAAATAGTTGTGGCTATTTTACTCTAAGTAAATGCATGTAACATAGAATACGGAAGATAAATATCACAAACTGAAGCCCTGGAAAAACGCAAAAATGGCAGTGGAGTCTGAGGAAAAAATGGTATGGAGGCTGAGGAAAAAATGGCATGGAGGCTGAGGAAGAAATGGCATGGAGGCTGAGGAAAAATGGCAGGGGAGGCTGAGGAAAAATGGCAGTGGAGGCTGACGAAAAAACGGCATGGAGTCTGAGGAAAAAATGGCATGGCGGCTGAGGAAAACATGGCAGTGGAGTCTGAGGAAAAAATGGCATGGAGGCTGTGGGCAAGACAGCTCGAGGACCCTGAGGGCATGAGGATAAGTTGGTGGTGCGAGGCAGGCAATTTGAGGCCATGAAGCAATTTCACGCCGCGCCGCGACACGACCGTATCATCACAGCCTTCGTGAACTTTGGTAATACATTCAAACGTCCACGGGGCGTTCCTAAAATGCAGCAGCAAAATAAAATCTTGTATGACCTAAAGTTGAATTGAAAAATTTCCAAGTTTGGTGTGGGAAAATTAAAATATTGTACCTCGAGCAGAGTTTCGTGAATGTCGAATCCGATATAAATTTTGGTAATACATTCAAACGTCCACGGGGCGTTCCTAAAATGCACCAGCAAAATAAAATCTTATATGACCTAAAGTTGAATTGAAAATTTCCCCAAGTTTAGTATAGGAAAATTAAAATATTGTACATCGGGCAGAGTTTCGTGAAGGTCGAATGATTCAGAGAAAATGCCAAATACTGAAGAAAATGTCTGAAGTATTATGTACAGTGGTCCAAACCGCAACAGTAAATAGCATGCCACGATATCAGCCCGTTTCAAAAGCACATAATAATTGTCTGTATTCGCTTAACTACAAACAAAAGCACATAAACAAACCATCTGTGTGTAAATTGGCGCTAAGGCATTTCCGCAACTCTCATCAAAATGAAACCTTGAGATTACTTGCCGACAAAACAAGCTCGTCGGAATATTTGATTGCGTCTAATAGGCTCCAGAATAGGAACCTAAACAAACAACTTTTTCATGCGCTGTGATTGAAAGACTACTCAGCACACACGCTTGGCTGGTACAACGTTGCCTCTTCCAAACTTGTAACAAAACCAACTCAATTTTTTCGCACAATTCACTGTAACGACCAGTTCAGATGGAAAAGGCTTAAATAACTGAATGAGGATAATCGATGTAATGTCATAGCACTTAACTCCACAGCGCTTATGAAAGAAAAACTACAGAAGAACTAGTACAAATTTACAATAAAGTAGCACAAGTTGTACAATGGTAGTATCAACTCCAACATAGTAGCTCGTTCAATAAAGGGAAAAATATGTTTGTTCAGCATGGCAGTTGGGATGCATGACATTTTTTGGATGTTCCTTTGTGTTAGCTGAACTAAATGCTACGAAGGTTACGAAAACAGGAACGAACTTAGCCCCCTAATGTTTTTGCTTATCTGCCAGAAGAGTGGCCGCACAAATCGCTAGCATTCCCTAAATCTTGTCAAGAAAATTATAGTCTTTAATAAATTCTTTGAGGCAGCAGCTAAACAAAATAAATAGATAAAATTTAAAGTTCCGCATTCTTCTTCCATTACTAGATTAATTAGAATTGTGTAATTAATTTGAGGTCGGTACCTAGCATGCAACCTGTCGAAAACATTCTTGGAAGATAATAAATTATCAACGAATGCATTTCTCTATTTGATCAAAAATAAATCATTGCAAAAATAATTATGCTCTCCGATTAAGAGACCTTAGTTGGTTAATAGCCCAAAAGAATATTTTCCTACGAATCAAGGATGAAATCTGAAGCGAAGATTTCAGCATTTTGCATAAAATTTTCCAAGGTTCTCGTCGAAATTAAACTCGGATTTTTGTGCAACACCAATTATTTCCATTTGGAGAAATTCTTGTCTCCAACATACTCCGCATTTTGGAGATATCTAACAAGTGACCATTTTAAAATTAAACTCAAAATCGAACAGAGTGTAATACAGTTGTTGAGCTTGACTACGCATCAGCTTCTGCAAAAAAGTTCGTACAGAATAAGTTATAATACCCTCACTTGTGGGCAATAAATTTCAGGAAGTATGATCTCATAGTAGTAGACAATTAGAAGGAAAGACTTTGTTAATGGGGACTATTAGAGACACTCGAGTACGATTATCATAGCAATGAATAAAAATTCATCAAAAATTTCGATAAAAAAAATTTCTGTTAGAGATGCTCGATACGGTTAACTTTAAACTTGAACATACAGCGACGCGACTGTATAAAAAAAGTAAATAATATGAAGATTTTTGTTTAAAAGAACAATTGAATCCCGAACACCAGTGCTCGAAACTCACTAGCCATTATTGCAGAAGATTATGTAGTATGCATATTACTTTCCACAAATGTAATAGAATATTAAGATGAGTAGTAATGCAAGAAATGAGGAAGGTGATAATTTTGAAAACAACACCTGGTACAAGGTGACTGACGAATCCCAACTCAACAGAGAGGAGTTAAACGTTTATATGCTAACAGCGTCTCACTATGCTTCAAGAGTTTATTGTTCAGCTAAACAAAATAATAAGTTTCTACACGATGTAGTCTCGCAATCCCTGGGAGATAAGTGTAATACTTTGAATTGTATGTAATCGTAAAACGCTAAATAAATTAGTATATAGCTTTTTTATTTAATGTTTGGAAATTGTAAATGAAGAATATAAGATGAGAGCGATATCCTACTCGCCCACTTCCCAATAGCGACCGCCATCGATACACTGCTCAGGAAGTGGCCCATGCGGGCGCCACCTGCTTGGCTTCTGCGCCGGAATACGGCCGGGGAGCGGCCCAGAAAGCGGCGGTGGGAGCGGATCTCTAACGATCTAACATGCGTCAAGGTTCACATCCAGTTGTGCTTCAATTGGCAGCTAGACAGAAGCCTTCCGGCAAATCGATTGATAAAGACTAGTCACCGGGAAATATAGGAAGAGACATACAGAGTTGAATCAGCTGTTTGAGGTCGATTTAATTACAAGATAAAATTTGTGTATGATTTAATGATACAATAGAATTGCAACCAATTTGTGAAAAATATATTTTTCTTCGGGAGTCTAATCATACACGCCAGGTAGGCTGTATAATTGCACTAAAATTTACACGCACTAAAATTTACATACCCACGTTTTGATATATAATTCACAATGCTAACCAACCCAACGCATTTATGATCATAAAGAACGGTTCGTTTACAACCT